GTTTTAATTCTCGGGATCCATGTGAGTGGAGAGTGCAGCATTGTTCCTTGCAGCCGAGGGAGAGGTCCTCTCTTGTCGGGCAGTGCTTGATCATTATGGGCTGAGAGGTTAWGTRTAAGGCCATTTRGGATGATACCTGATGGGCTAATCTTGCACCTGCCCACAGTCCCTGGGTTTTTATAAGATGGCTTGGCCCAGGGACCACTTAATGTAAGTGTTGGGCCCATGTGATGGGCTCAAGGGGTTCACTGGGCTCACCAGTGAATTCGGCCAGGCCTTGTAACAGAGGCTAGGCCGAACCCATGTGGTTGGTGTGTAGATCAATGCTTGGGTCCCACGCCATACAAAGAAGCCCAACTGGGCAACAGTTTGGAAGACATTTGAGCACTTGATTCTTATTGGGCCTAAAGCCCATTTCGAACTGGGCTGATTTGATCAGTCATTATTAGAGGGCGGATCTGAGATTAGGATGAGCCCAAAAGCTTATCTAATATGTAGATAAGATTAAGAAGAGTCCTAATCCAAACACAGATTTGGATAAGGGCAACTCCTGATATGATCAGGAGATTTTTCTTAATCAATAAGCAACTGGAGGAAACCCTATTCGAATAACAAGAATTCGAACCCTAGGGAACACACAACACACCCTGCAGTTTTGAGACAGGATCTTAGAAACCCTAGAGAAGAAAAGCAGTTCGCCACCTTCTTCTCTAGCTTCCTGCTGTTGCAGCCGCCACCATCTACTGCAGTTCGATTTCTCTGTCAGAGAAAGATCAAGAAAGAGTTCTTGATATTAGTCTTTACTGAAAGGCTGATTCAGTTTGGTGCTCATTGTCTTCCAAGGGATTCTTCTGAAGGATTCAGTGTGTAGAACGCACTCTGCTGGTTCTGTTCCACAGTTGTTGTATCATCTTCAGCAGGAGCAGATCTTGGTATCTTCTTTGGGCGTGAACACCAACTTTGGGAGATATTATTTCTCTGGATCAGGTATAATCACTCCCTCCTCTTTTGGTTCAGATCTGGTTCGGTTCTGGTTCAAGTAGGATCCTTGAATCTTGATTCTAAAACAGGGAATGCGATTCCCAATTGGAAGGTAGGTAGAAAATTTTGAAATTCGCCCACCCATTCCGCAACCTTTTTGGCGTCCATACGATGGATTCTACCATCCCGTTCAATGACAGCCATAGGGAAGGATAAATCCATACCCCCACTCATTCCATTCTGCATTGAGGAAACACCAGATGTGGCAGAATCTTCACCATTCATGATCACAGCTTCTTATCACACTCAAAGTAGGCACAAAAAACCTTAAAAAAGAGCAGTCTAACACCCCAAAAAAAAACATTTTGCACCAGGAGACTAGTGACAACCACTCCCCTCCTTTTCTTTTTGAAACTCAGCTCTTCAATCACACAAGAAAGAAAAAAACAGTTGCTATTACAGAACTAACAGGTCATCACTGGCCTGCAATAAATCAGATATGGCTGCTGTCGCAGCACATACAGGTTATCTCTTGACCTACAAATCAGATATGGCCGCTGTCATCCCCTGACCTACAAATCCATCACAAGGCTGTTGTCGCAGCATATAAAGGTCATCACCAACCTACGGTACATCACAGGGATCGGCTGATCCCACAAAAAAAGGAAAGAAAGAGGTGCTGATCACCTCACATCAAACAAGTGAACCTACTACAGGTTCTGTCCTGGTACACGACCAGAAAAAAAGAAAAAGGAGGAAGGGAGAGAAGTTACTTCAGTTCGATGTTGTATTCTGGATCTTCAATAAAACAAACAGTAGCTAACGAAGAGAGAAGATAGGAAAAAAGCTTGCTCGATCTCTCCTTTCAGATCTGATAGTCCCGCTCTGATACCATGTTATCCAGAAGAGAAGAGGAAAGGAAGAGGGAAGAGAGAGGAGAGAGGAGAGGAGAGATTTAGAGTCAAAAGGTACCGCTGGCGGCACCGGCTTTTTGTATTTATACTAGGGCGACATAAAACAAAATAAAAGAGTGGAAAGTACAATAGTACCCCCGTGGTACTAAACTTAAAAAATAACAGACTTTTAACACTAGATGTATGGAACAAACCAACAGGGAGATTTTTTCTGCTGCTTTCCCATTATGTTTCTAGAGATGATAATTTACAGTTTCCACCAGATCTGTGCTACTATATTGGTGAATGTGCTGTGTCCAGTATATGTAATCCATCCAAAAGTGGCTAACATGCAACAAGTCGTTACTCAATTTTGTCATTTCAATTAAAACAAATTACCTGTAATCTATGCATGCCACCATAATGTCTCTTTCTGATAACTGTTTTCCTAAAAGAGAACCCCATGCTTTATACCTGCACCAATGAAATGCCATAACAATTTAACAAGGAATAAATGAACTTTAGATGATGCAAGAGAATGATATGATACAAACTACCGAGTAAATAATCAAATATTAAGTTGGAAAGTTCCTTGTGGACAACATAGAAGCTTCTGGAATTAGTTGTCTCAGATTTGTATAATTATGCTGCATCCTATAACTATCACTCAAAACTTATCAAGTTAAAATATATTTTGTAGGATTTCTTAAAGGCCTATATTCAATAAACTTTCACCAATTGTCTAAAGACTATCAATATGCGCCTTCCCATTAAAATCATTTCATTGCATGAAAGGAACTGCAATTTTGGAAGATCTGTATACTAGATATACAGTTTCATTTGGTTGGGCACAAAATAGGGCAGAAAATGGTTCTTTTGGCAAAGAAAAAGTTGACACTAAACACATCAGTAAGACCTTATCTACCTCCAAGTTGAAACAGCATATAATATTGTGCCCCTGTTTGAACATACGTCATTTTACTTGAGTGAGATAGAGGTCTCAACTTCAAGAGACCTTGTAAAGAAAGACATGTAGAACATCCAAATCATGGGTTTAAAACTTTAAAACTATTCATGAAAAATCACACAAACAAAATCCTGATATCCAATTTCTTGATTGTTTCTACAGTTGAGAGCCCAATTCATGGCATCACCAATTCCCCCTTTGCAATTAGCATTCATTACCATTATCACACTCTATCACTGAATAAAATAATCTAAACTCTCTTGTATTTGGAAATTGGAAGCCTTTAGGGACTTGAAGGCCCAGCATTGCTCAACCCACTATTAGTGAGTATAACAAGACAAGATTGCTGGTCTTGATTCTTAAGCTCATAATTAACAAGGTTTTCTCTTCGGATCAAGTTACATCTGGAGCCATCCTCTTGTGGAAGATAAGGATCATTAACAAGGGACCACCAGCACTAAACCAAATTAAAATGAAGATAAGCCTAGAAATAAAATAGCAAACCAAAAATAAAATGCTAGATGACTAATATATACTTCCAAATTATTATAATTTTAATATTGACATTATTCTTCTTCTAAAATTTTACCAATCAGTTGCATGTTATAAATAATAAGTTGCATATATCCATAGACACATGGGTACACAGTCCACTCATGCTCAAAGTTTTTGGACGTTTCCACCTTAGCACTGCAATCATTCCGTTTCACTCCATGCTCTGACTCCATTCTAGGATTTAGTCATTAACTGCTCAATAAATCTTTGATAATTGCTACCCTAATACCTCCTAAAAACCAAAAAAAAAAGAGAGAGAGAGGGTATACATGCTTTAAAAAGCACTAACCCAATAATCCAGGCTCCACCTGTTACAAATGCCACAACTGGTTTTGGCCCATTGCTATTTTTAGGTAAATACAGATCAAGCCTGCAGAAAAAGAAACGGCATTATGACTTGTGAGCAATCTATGACAGGATCCTTTAAATATAAAAGCACATATAAGTTATTGCATCCAATAAACCAGAAAATAAACATAAACCAGAGAAATAAAGGATACCTATTTCTTGGTTGATCTCCATAAACAATACCTCTACGGACCTGACTTGAGAAGAAATAGTAATATCCAACTGCCAACAACTAAACACATTAGATATACAAAGGCAAATCCTACACAAGAACTATGACCCACATAAGGTCTAATTTTCATAAAAAAAAAATATTCAATGACCAATTATAGGGACCAGAAAAGCTGCTAGTGACCAACACTGATGAATGAAAAATGTCAAGGCAACCGAGCCTCATAAAAAACACACCTTGAATGAAACCAGGAATAAGTAGCATTGCATAACAACCAAGGGCAAGAAATCTTACAATCCACCGGTAGCCTACCCTGAACAAAAATAAGTGATCAGAATATCAAACAACAATCACAACTTAAACAGAATTTCAAGTTATAGAAATTAGAAAACTACTTTATGTTGGTGAAAAAAACACTATAATATATTTCAGAGATTTTCTCTCTTTCAAGAAATCAAATCCCTAAAAAGTCAATCTCTTATTATCTACTCTCTAAAGTACATCTGGAGAGATTTAATTATCTTAGTTACCACTAAATAGTGCATTGCGAACAGGCAGGATTGGTCATGCTCCCATATGATGAGCAGACAATAATTCCATTTCAAGGTTTTCTCATTGGTAAGAAAATTTATCGACTATCAAGACAAAGTTGGAACAAAAAAGTAACTGGGATTCATGGCCAAATAACAAACTACTAAATTCTTCCCTTAGGTCACAAGTCCCAGTAAACTTGGAAAAGAATATGAAATGAAAGAAATCACAAGGAGATCTGCAAATCGGCAATGTTAATGTTACAGATCAGCAATACCTCCACAGGGTCCTGAAATTAGTTCCAATTATCAGAGTTATGTCCAAGAGGAATCAAGAAACAATTTATCTTACAATTCAACATCCAAGGGAGAGATATTCCACGATGACATCAAATATTAAATTCTTGTTCAAACTCAGTTTTTTCCATAATACTGTCCCAAAAGGACATAAATACCTAGAAAAGAATTCCAAGTTGAGAACTGCAAATGATGCCACATATAGGCCTCTCCAAGTTCATGGCCATGTCACTGCATTGTCAACTTTGCCAGGAGGAAGCGTCATTTATTGATTAAAGAAGGGCAGAAATCTTATGGTGCATTTGCTATCTGGTGGAGACTTTGGTGGGAGAGAAACTGCAGATTTTTGAAAGGAAAAGCAGCCCCAGGGAGAAAATAGTATCTAGAGCAGAGAATCATTTGGTAAATTGGGCCTGTTTGGGAAGAGTACAAATACAAATATGTAAAGTGGAAATCAAGATTTAGGAATAAAAATGCAAATATGCAAAGTTTTGCACTATACAGGATCCTTGATATTACAGTCTGCTGCTTTGGTTGTAAAAACAATACTTCTTTTTGTATATTCTCTGTACAGACTTTTTTAGGGAATCCTTCCCTCTCTTTTAATAAATTTATTTACCATCTATCAAAATTCAAAAAAAAAAATCTTATGGTGTATTTGGGAAGAGAAGAATGCTGGACGCTTTAAGGACAAGTATCAAAACATAGAGGCCACTATAGAGAATTTCATGATCAAGGTGGCTGATTGGGCTAAGACTTGCGGCCTTTACAAGGGATGGCATTATTAAGAAATTGGCAACAATTGGCTGGCTCATGTTCATTAAGGAGTCCTCAGTTATCACCTTCGACTCCTCCCAATCCCAAATATGACCAAGTTGAACTTCTGATTAGGGAATCCAGGAATCTCAGGAGATGGCAATGTTTTGAGAAACTAGGAGGGAAACATCCTAGCTTGATACACAGGCCAGGCTGGTGTTGGTGATGCTATTAGGTCCTGAAGATATGGACTGTTCTACATGGGTTAAAGCTGATTAATCACTGCACTACATGGACATTTTTGTTGAAGGGGATTCACAAGTAACCATAATGCTGGTTAAAAAAATAACGAAGTAGTTCACTGAAGTATAGATAATATTTTAAGGGAAATCCCAAAGCAAGCAGTGCTGCGGTAGATCTTTTTCAATAAGTAAAGCTAGCTAGCTAGCTAGCGGTGTTTTTGAGAACAATTTTTATTTTAGAAAGCCTCCAAGATCAGATAATAGTGGTTGCAGATGGACTTGCAAAACAAGGAGCAACTAGAAGCCAAATGTATTAAGGTTCAATTCCACAGGGTGGGAACCTGTAACTTAAAGCAAGATATTGGTAATGCAACTAACCAATGCTAGCTACCTTTGAGGAATTTGGATTAGCTGAACGCTTTGGCTGTTCAGCGGGCTGTGGAACCAATGATGAGGTTTCACACCAGTAATAAATTCATGGGCCCCACTGTGAAAGGTTCGGGCCCATGTATTTTATTACTAGCGTGGAACCTTATCATTGGTTCCACAGCCCGCTGAACAGCCAAAGCATTCAGCTAAACCTTGCTCACCTTTGAGGGGTATTTGGCACAGAACTGTGCATCTTACTATATATTTTTATAATTGATTACTTGTTATTGATCAAAAGAAAAGGTTTCATTCATTGAGAATGAATGCCAGTTGATAACCTATTTACCCCTTCCAACTGTGTATGGTATATCTCTATGACATTCTTCCTTCCAGTAGCAAGCAAGCATTGTTTTCTTTAATGAATCCTACAAGGGTGTAGAGTTGGAGGTATAAGAAATGACTAATTGAATTCATGATAATCCTTAGGTTGGAAGTTATTACCTTAGGAGTGCCACTTTCTGACACCCATGCCTTAGGACTTAGGAGAACCCACAGTGCTCTCAACTCACTAAAAGATGAGGAGCTCATGTTAACCCGCACTAACAATATATTACTTGTATCCAGCACAAGGACAGATCTTGTCAGAGAAAGGTAAAGTATTATATTAGACAAAACGCAATCCAGATCTGCACAACAAGGAGCTGTGCAGTGCCCAATCAAAAACTGTACATCTTCTAAAATGTATACCCTGTGTGCATAGATACAAAAAGAGCTATATGGTCTATTCCTGAATAGTCTATGTGTTCCTACCCCAAAATCCTTTACATAAATTTTCCTCTGCAACAAACTTATTTTCAAACAGTCTTTTGTTTCTTTCCGTCCATATTATCCAAACCGCTAAATCAATCCCCAAACTGATTCACCAAGTATTTCATCAACGGCATCTAACTTGAAACACTGAATGAAGATTCCTATAGCCTGGAATTCTTGAACCAACAGGCAAAGTACGACACATTTCTCAGGAAGCAAGCCAATGCAACAAACATAATCACGACTCCAGTTATAAATTTGATTTGCCTATCCCAATCGTAAATCAGGTGTATACCCACTATTCCATTTAATGAAAACCAATCTTCCAATCAATCAAAGGTATAAATTAACATGCTTTTCTGAGGAGACCATCTAGAGCATTAGACAAGATGTGGATTTAAAATTATGCTCTCTCCAGCGACCCAATACGACAATCATCAAGAAAAAAATGTACACAAATCGAAAAATAATTCCTATTAGATTCAGTAATTAAAAAAAAACATGGGTATTCAATATCGAAATCAAAATTTTATCAAAGAAAAAGGGCGGAGGCGGGGGAATTAAAGATAAACATATCAGAGTAACGAATAAGAGAAAGCAGTAGTACCCCAAATAACGCAAGAGCTTGAAACTAAGGCGAGTGAGCAAGAAAGTATTGGAAGCAGCTTGGCTGACGTCCTCCCTGAACGACTGTTGTCGCTCGGTTAAAAGAAAAGGAAGAGATGTTTCGCTGGCACTTCTACGCCTCCTTTGTTGCTGTTGCTTTTGTTGGCTATTGATGCTATTACCTGTATAGGTAGAAACCCGAGGAAGAAAGTGTCTCTTGTCAACATCTTTGCCATTTTCAAATGAGGGAGACGAGGAGAAATGGAAACGGCTTGGATCATCCTCTCCTCTTAAAACCATTGTTGCCGTCGTCGCCGTCGCTGGCATAGTTGGAGAAACTGGAGAAGAAGAGGAGGAGGAGGAATGAAATACAGGAAGGATCTGAGATTGCATAGGGAGATAAAGAGGGGTGAGGACGGATAGAGGAGGTGGGTATAAGTAGTTGATCAGAAGGAAGGCAAAGTTTGTTTCGTTGTTCTGTTGCTTTGCTTGTTCGACAGTATTTGCTTCCTCCTTGTTTCGTGGGTGTGATCGTTTGAGCATATACTAACATTGGAGAATACTGATCAAAGAGAGAACTGGGCAACTATGACATCGTACAAGATTACAACAACTAATTGTCAAATTGGCTGACATATCCATTTCTTTGAATTTGATTGGAGAGTCAATGTCAATGAGAGAGAGAAAGAGAGGGGAATTGGAGCACTTGATTGGCCATGGGGAGGACCAAGTGATCCATCCATTTGGTGCCACCTGTTAGCCAGCTTTAGCTTCTCTTTTCTTTTTCAGAGAAAATGGAAAATTTTTTAGAGTTTTTGGCCAGAATTATAGAAATATGCGTTGTAAATTTTCTCATTGGTTCTATGAATCTGTGTGAATGTACGTGGCCCCACGTTTTATTTTTATTTTTTTGGTACAAGGATTTTGGGGCCATAACTCATTAAGCATGAGCCCATATTCCCTCCCCCACAAAACCCTGCACGACCCTAAAAGCACTGAGATCTTCTCCCACACGTGTGTTAATCATATCCATAAATACACACATACAATCCATGAGAAGTTGTGAACTGTAACTGTACCGGTTTATTCAGTTAAATGTTGCTGTTTCAAGGGGACGGAATTGTCATGAGACATGGATAGGGAGTGGGATCTGCTCACACCAATAAAAAAGTGTACCAACAACACCTGTGTCCACACATCTCACCAAGAGGTTAGTACGGGATCTGCTTCTCACAAATGGGCGTCTCACAGGCACATTCACCGTACATTTAGAACATCTCTCGTGAATAATAACTAATAAGTACAGAAGATATTTCCAATGCATGATAGGATGTACGTGTGAGGTGCCAGGTGTGAAGAGCAGATCCAGTCCCGTAACACAGATCATGTTGGAACAATCCTGCCCTATGGATAGGCATAGATCTCCTGCAAATGCTTGCGTGTTAAAACACTAGGTGTTCACTTGTGGTTAGTCAATGTAGCGTGGTTCACGCGTTTGTGTTCACTTGTGATTACTCACGTAACCTGATTCACACATTTGTGTTCACTTGTAATTAGTCACGTAATCTGATTCACACATTTGTGTTCCTAAGGATCCCAATGTGTCATGAGAGATCGTAGGGAACCATTGCATGAGTTCACATCAGCGTCTTACAGCATATCCCGACCTTGTACTGGGAACATCTTCCAATGACAAGTACAGGAGATGTGTTGTAGGGCATTGTGGGGTGCCCTACATGATGTGAACTCCCATTGCATCTCCTATCACCAATCTGCTGTGAATACAAAGGTATAAAATGGGAGTTCACATTTATGCCCCACAACACATCTTCCAATGATGTCTCATCATCTCCCTATTTATTATCGGAAAATATTCTCAATACAAGGTGGAGATGTTCTATGGGGCATTGTGGGGCGCCCCCTTGTGGGGTACAGATGTGAACTCATAAAATGGACTACATAAGTCATAACTAATCGTGCCAATGTTCTCCATACATAAAACTCATAAGAGACCAGCCCGATATACAATAATGACAATCTCTTTCTGTCTTTCAGATTTAATATTTTCATAATTAAATCACGTAAACCTTCTTCCACAAACATTCTCTACAACATTAATCTTTTTTTTTCTGTTTAGGTATATGTCACTTTCTTAAATCTTTCCCACAGTCTATAGTTTTCTCTTACTTCTACGAAAAGATATAATTTAATATATAAAATTAAGACTCTTTCAACAAAATATGATATTAAAATCACACTGAGGATAAAAGGCAAAAAAAAAACGAGGATAAGATTTCTACATGGCATTATGCCAAATTAGACCCTGACGGGCTTGAACATGTTTTTAGGCCCGCGGGCTTAAACTCGGGCCAAAAAGCTTGGCCCACAATAAATTTGAGCTGGGCTCGGGTTTTGTCAAAATAGCCTAGCCCGAGTCTAGCCCGGCCTGACCTAAAATTAGACTTAAAAAGGGTTATGTGATTATGTCCATTTGAATAAACTTTTTGATTTAAGAATGTAAAATTGTGTTTTAAAACGTAAAAGAAAGGGAAAAAAACCATCTTGTAGGCCCATTGTTCATTTAAATAGGAAAAAAACCATCTGAGTTTTTAATTCTAATTTGAATAGGGAAAAATATAATTTTTTTTATTAGGTCAGGCTTCGGGCTTCGGGCTTTTTATCAGGGCCGGGCTCGGGTCCAAGTTATAGGCCCATTGGTCGGGCCGGGCTCGGAATCGGGCCTAGCGTATTTCCATTAATGATGAGTAAAAGCCCGGCCCGAGCTCTATGCCAAATGCTAGAGTGCGGGCAAAGTTGTTTGTCTTACACTTTTTACCATAAAAGCCCAATTCATAATTTCATATAGTTAGAGACTTGAGGGGTATCAATGGACCCAAAGTTTTGGGTTGGGCACCATCCAAGTCAAATTCAATTCGGATGGATTGGATAGACCAATAAGACATCAAATTGGACTAATCTAAACTTAATGGTTCAAAGTATTTATTTGATTGGTTGGACCCAGTTCATCGGTAATGGATTTATATTGGATTGCATTGGATTAAACTAATCAATGGACTAGGTTTGGGTAGGAACCAACCTATATTAAAACCAATCTGAATAGACTGGACGGTCCAGATATTGAATTGGACTAGTCCAAAATGGTTCAGAGTATTCATCAGATTAGATTGGACCTGGTCCATATAATTGAATTGGATTGGATTGAATTGTAGCAAATTCATTCCAATTGACTGCCTACATATATAGCCACACACCCTGTAAATTTAATAAAGTTATATACTTGTAACACCCCCTGAGTGAGTTGAGTGGATCTCATCACATCTGATGTAATGATTTCTGGTCACGTATCATTTACTTTTTGGGCTAAGTACCTCATCATCCCATCTGCTCCCAGATGGCTGATGACTCAGAGGCTAAAGTGGAGCTCCCTAGTGTAGTGCAACCCAGTTGCTCCCTACAGGAGATGATCTACTCATCTTTGTAGACGGCGGGAACTGAGGAACCCATCCTCCCTACAGGAGATGATCGGCTCATCTTTGTAGACAGCGGGAACTGGTTGCCTGCAAGAACTAAATCAGAGAACCCAGGGTGGCTTACCCGGCAAGGACACTTCGATGCTTAAGTTAGCACGCAGTAGAGAGCTTGATGATGATATCAGAGAATTAGAGAGCTAGAGAGCAAAGATTACCCACCCATCATACCTTCGCCCCTAGGGGTGAGGTCTTTATATACTAGAGTCCTTGCGGGTTTGGTGGAGCAATTCCTAGATCCTCGCTGTGATGGGATCCGCTTTCGTGTTAGGTGGGGATAATGCCACCAACCGGTAAGGTTGCCCATCTCCGCCTGAATTGGGGAGTGGGTGAGCTAATATAGCTGTTACAAGTCAATCCCGTAAAATGCGGGGTACGGTGGTGAGCTCCTCGGGGTTGTCATGCAGTGGTCGGTCTGACTAAGAAGCGAGCTGCCTGGTGGCGAGCTACCTGTAAGTGCTACATGGTGGCGTGTTGCCTGTAAGTGCTAAGCTGTTTGGGTGGCGAGCTGTCTGTAAGGTGCCAAGCTACATGATGGCGAGCTGCTTGTGAAGTGTCAAGTTGTCTGGTGGCGAGCTTCCTGCGAAGTGTCGAGTTGCTTGGTGGTGAGTTGTCTGTAAGGTGCCAGGCTGCATGATGGCAAGCTGTCTGTAAGGTGCCAGGTTGCATGATGGCAGGCTGCCTAGTGGCGAGCTGCCTGTAAGTGGTAAGCTGCCTGTGGCGAGTTGCCTGTAAGTGGCGAGCTGCCTGGTTGTCATGAGGTGTCAGGTGTCATAATGTCATTGGAGGGCCAAATCCTCCCTCATCATTTGCCCCCCACTCCCGAGCTGAAAGTAACTTGGCGAAGGGAGTAGATTTCTCCTTTTGGCCCAGAATTCGATGAGCTCGTAAGCGCTGATTCAGTTCCTTAGGCTCTGGGAGCTGCTTGGAAGCGAGCTGCCCGTAAGGTGCCGAGGTCTCTACCAGTTCGGTATTGTAGCCCTTAGGCTCTGGGGGCAACTTATAGTCCACTTTTTTTGATTTTGTCCATGCCGAAGAGGCGATTGTGTCTTAAGTGCCCATTCCAAGGAGGCGATTGGGACTAGCTCGCCCATGCCGAAGAGGCGACTGGGACTAGCTCGCCCATGCTGAAGAGGCAACTAGGTCTTAAGTGTCCATGCCGAAGAGGCGACTGGGACTTAGCTCGCCCATGCCGAAGAGGTGACTGAGACTTAGGTGCCCATGCCAAAGAGGCGATTGGGACTTAGCTCGCCCATGCCGAAGAGTCGACTGGATCTTAAGTGCCCATGCCGAGGAGGCGACCGGGACTAGCTCACCCATGCCGAAGAGGCGACTGGATCTTAAGTGCCCATGCCAAGGAGGCGACTGGGACTTAGCTTGCCCATGCTGAAGAGGCAACTGGGACTTAGGTGCCCATGCCGAAGAGACGACTGGAACTTAGCTTGCCCATGCCGAAGAGGCGACTAGGACTTATCTCGCCCATGCCGAAGAGGCGACTGGATCTTAAGTGATGAGGAAGTCTTTTATCAGTTCGTCTTTTTGCCCCTGGGCCAGGCCGCCAGGTCGGCGCTTGTGCCAAGCTGCCAGGCCGTCAGGTGGGTGCCTTAGAGCTATGATTGTGCTGCATCAGCCTCGTAATGCCGGTCACCCACTCCTACAAGAAGCTAATAGGAACTCAACCTTTGGGGGCAGTACCACTAACTTTAGGTCGACAGCTCGCACGGGAGCCTTGGAAGGCTCGACCAGCAAGGGCGCCCATGTAGTCTGTTGGCCGCCAACTCCCGCGGAAGCCACGAAGAGCTCATCTTTGTAGATGTGACCTCGCGAAAAGGACTGATGAGGTTTTATCTGAATTGAAAGTAAAGTTGGTAGAGCTGCTTAGTCTGTTAGCTCCCTACATAGTCTTTGAATTCATAAAAAATGGAAACTATAAAACAAGAGCTTCAGTTCCTAAAAAGTGAGAACTTAACTTTCTGGGAGAAGAGGACTTAGCTTTTTGTAGGATGAGAACTTAGCTTTTTGTAGTGTAT